TTTCCCTTTAATCACCTTTGCATTGAAAGGATTATTGATTGGATTACCTTCATGAAGCAGATGCTTTATCCTTCAACATATTAACTGGAGGACTTGGGAGAAAGCTACAGTATCCTTAACATGGTAATGTCACTTATTTCTCCTTTCCAACATACAGCTACATATTCACACTTTCTTAATATTAGCTCAATAGTGAATAACTGATAGTGTTGTTGTTTTGTATGATACTGCTCCCTCAACCCTCCATTGCACTACCTGCATGTCAACTGTTACATTTTATGTTGCAAACACCACCAGCTAATACGCAGTAGAGGTGCCACTTGCAGCATGTACAATCTGATCCTAGCCAGGACAACTAGCAAGGGCATCTCTACCCAGGCTAAAATCGCCTCCCTCATTATGCATTTGGAAGAACTAGGAGGGCACCTGCACACAAATGCAGATGTCCTGAATGCCTCAGCAGGATTTTAAAGAATTGCTTATAATTTTGGAAATAATGCCCTGCTCTTGCATGGAAGGGGGGCTTTGCTGAAATCTTTGGAATCTGGGGAAATGAGCCAAATTCAGATAGAAGGATTAGCAGCAGAGGGAACTAGGAAATGAGGAAGGATAAGAACAGTGAACTGAAAGGGCTTGGAGAGGATAGAAGATGGGAACAGGAGTGGATATGGGCAGGAACCAAGGCACGTGATGGCAGGATAAACATTTGGGCACAGCTCAGGGACTGCGAGATAGAAGTAAATGAAGGGATGGGAATTGAATGATGGAGTGCAGGAGCAAAAGGAGTTGAATGGAACCAAAAGAGGACAAAATTGAGCTGAAGGGTGGACAGACATGTCAAAGGAGTTGTATCTGATACTGCAGAACCTGAAGCTGGACATGATGTTTGTACACCTCAGTAGTTCTAAGCTGCCTAGCAAACAGTTGTGATACCCTTCATCTTTTTCTGGTGATGGGTCTGCATACTGTTGGTATCTTCTGTCCTACTCATTCATTTGCTCACACAGTATAGGGTTGTGTTGTGAGCCTAGAAATTGTAACCATCTGGCAGGCTAACATGTTGTTCATCCTGTGATAAACAGAGCCCTGGAGTCCCGGAATACTTCAAGGGGGTGTCTCAAAGAAAGGGACCTAAGAAAAAAACAGGTTTACATGGAAAATATTTCAGGGATTTGGAAACAGAGGAAGACTGAAAGAAATTTAAAATTACTCACCTGTAAGATAAAAGTTTGGGGATTTTATTTGCAATTTCAGTTTTTTTGAAAGCCCCAAACAAATACACTATTAAAGGCACTTTAGATTTACAAATTTCAGTACTTCAAAGGTGGGAAATGTTTCTGGTACAACCTGTTTTGTCTTACTCTTCTCCCTTTTTTCCAGTATTGTGACACAATTTTCAGTTATGCAGTGGCATATTTTTGCCACTAGAAGAACCTGTCCTCATTCAATGCACAGAAAAAACAGTGCTCCAGGAGTAGTCCTGGGTGATGTCGTGAGTGAGACTGACATCTTGTGTGTGTGTGTGTGTTTTGGGCCCAACACGACAACAAAGAAACAGCCCCAAGGCCACTCACTCAACTCCACCCTCACACACACACTCTGGGATGGGGAGGTCAAGGCTCCTGGGTTGAGACAAAGGACAAGGAGGGATCTTCACTGATTAAGGTCCCGGGCAAAACAGACTCAACTTGGGGAAAAAATAATAATTTAATTTCACCCTAATCACACCCCCTCAGGACACAGACATGCCCAGAGCTGGGCTTGCAGATGTTACCCCACCCCTCCCTTCTTCCCGGGCCCCAATCCCTTGGTTCCCGGTTTCTCTCCCTCCTTCCCCCCAGCAGCACAGGGGGACAGGGGATGGGGTTTGCTTTGGGATCTGAAGTTACACAAATTGATAATTCCTTGTGTGTTTTCTTCCTTCTTTCAGTGCAATGTGGATACAAAACCTAATGTTTCACTTCTCATACTCCTTGAAGTCACTCCTCTTTCCTAGCATGACGTGTGTCTAGCATTCTGCCAGATGAAGACAGTAACATTTCAGAACCAAACATACCCTTGGACTAGGATACAGAGGCTGAAGTCACTGAAGAATTTGGCCATTAACATTTGATACCATTTCAGCTGGCTACTCTAATGCCTGGAAGGCTGTTTATAAACAGGTTTCCGGTGAGAGAGTAAAACAGAGACATTTCTGAGTGGTATGGCTAACAGCTTCAGGGCATAAGCTAATTCTGCTTCCCTCTTCTGTTTAGCACTTAGCATTTATAGGCTTATGACTAAGTAGAGAGGTACGAAGTTGGCTGTAATTGGTATGGTGCATAAATGTAATTATCATTTCAAATGTGGATCCTCTGCCAGGTATTTATGTTTGTTTGTTTTTTTTTAATTTCCCTGGCTATTGCTCCCTTTAGACAAAAAGGATTTATTTTACATGGGGAATATTTTGGCTTCTGGGTGATGACTTGTAGCCCAGGATCTCAAGCCTGTGGCAGGTTATGCTGTACCTCCTAAGCTGCATTTTAAGCTGTTGATGCATAATTTCAAAGGTCTACAGGTCACTAGTTACTTCAGCTATGAAGCACTGTTTATTTTTCTTCTGGTCTCTTTCATTTGATATGGGTATTAGAGAGGTCACATGAAAAAAGCACCTCTAGCTGTTCTCCTGGTCACTCAGTGTCTCATCCAGTGAGTCAGGAATTCAGCCCCCACTTTCAGTGCTTACTGGGCAGGGTCTAGTCCTAGCAGGATTTTTGCAAAAGGGATATGAAAAGTGTAAACTGACTTAGATACTGGGAGCCACTGACTTGCAAGTAAGTGAAGAAGCTACTAGGGTCAGAGGGAGGAGTTGCTCAATAACTGGGGAAAGTACCTGAATGTGGGAAGCAGGAAATCTGGGTAGCACAGGAACCATGGAGGAGAGAACTGGGAAGTTCAGGAGAAGATGGTGTGACCAGGAAACCCAGAAAGGCAGGAAGCAGATAGGAAGATCTGCATGGACTAGACACAAATCTAGACACCCACTTGGGGTATCTCAGTTTTGGAGTGCTTACCTGGAGTCTGGCTTTTGTGAGAAAATGCCACATACCCATAATTTTGTGGCTGCTGCAGTGCTAAGCACATCATACCCAGCAAAAGGAAGCCAGAGGGAATCCAAAGGGTGGCAACTGCTGACCCACAGTAAGGGGTGCATAAGACACCTCAGGAACTGTTTCACTTGTTGAAGCTGCACTTCTGTGCTGCAGATTGACAGGTGCCTGTCAGGGGCAGGCTCTGGGAGATGATGTCCCTCCAGCTTCTGCAGTAGGTTGAGAACCCAGAATTAGGTGTCCTGCTGTGCTAGAGTCAGCAACAACTTTTCCCATTGATCTGTGAGGATTTTTTTGTGCAACTTGGAATTAGTGACCAGTACAGTCTGGGAGAGGATCACAGAATCACAGAATACTCATTATTGTAAAGGACCTTTGAGATCACCAAGTCCAACCATTAAAAAAACAAACCAAACCAAGCCAGACAAACAAATAAATAAAAACAAACAAAAAAACCCCAACAAAATTAACAAAAGATCCCCCACTCTACAAAACCCCCCACAACACACAACCTTCATTCTGGCCACTAGAGCAAGCCCTGAAGTTCCTCATCTACATGCTTCTTGAATACATCCAAGGATGGTGAGTCCACCACTTCCCTGGGCAGGCCATTCAGTAAAGAAATTCTTGCTAATATCCAACCTAAACCTCCCCTGCTGCAATTTCAGACCGTTTCCTCTGGTCCTGTCACTATTCACATGGGAGTCCAACAGTAGTTGTAGAGGGTGATGAGGTCTCCCCTCAGCCTCCTCTTCTTCAGGCTGAAAATCCCTAGTTCCCTCAGCTGCTCCTCGTATGACTTGTTCTCTAGACCCTTCATTAACTTGGTCACTCTCCTCTGGACCTGCTCCAGCACCTCAGTGTCCTTCTTACAGTGAGGGGCCCAGAACTCAGTACAGTGCTCGAGGTGAGGCCTCACCAGTGCTGAGTGCAGGGACACAATCACTTCCCTACTCCTGCTGGCCACACTATTCCTGATGCAGACCAGGATGCCATTGGCCTTCTTGGCAAGGCCATGTTGGCTGGCCATGTTCATCCAGCTGCTCACCAGTACCCCCAGGTCCTGTTCTGCTGGGCAGCCCTCCAGCCACTCCTCCCCAGGCCTGCAGCCCTGCTGGGGGTTGTTGTGACCAAAATGCAGGACCTGGCACTTGGCCCTACTGAACTTCATACAACTGGCCTTGGCTCATTGATCCAGCCTGTCCAGGTCCCTCTGTAGAGCCTTCCTCTAGCAGATCAACAAACCCACCCAGTTTGGTGTTGTCTGTAGGATGTGGTTATCCTTAACTCTTGAACCATGGCACCTTGCCATGTCTGAGCTTGGAGATGTGAACACAGCCACTACCTCAAGGAAAAGCTTAGTGGCACCCTCAGGTGGCACTGACCTTGTGGTGTTGGCTTCAGACAGAGCAGGGCAGTGGCGCCGCAGTGCTGCTGTGGGGTTCACTTCTTGCCCCTTCCTGATGCTTCTGGACCCCCCTTGTCGTTTCTCCCCCGTTTTGCAAGCTGTGTAGCAAGGCGAGATGCTGGCCCAGCAAGATGGGCAGGGAGGCTGGAGGGTGGCAGCTGGCACTGCCTCTTAATATAGCAATGAGGGGTGTGGCTGCACGAGGCGGCTGGTGCAGATCGGCTTGGGAACAGGCTGTGTGCTAAAAAGAGTTCAGTTGCAGATTGCAAAGGCTTATGGGGTTGATGCTGAGCCTGAGGAGCAGTGTAAGTACACAGAGAGAAGCAGAGTGACTTCCTCAGGGCTCTCAGGAGCCAGCACAGGCAGGCTACAGCAGCCTGGGCACCTACACAGACGGGCTGTGGCAGGAGGTGAGCAGAGCAACTGGACATGGACTGATGGGGCTGCAGCTCACATGGAGGTACCTCAGCCATCTGTCAACACTGTTAGCTCAGGTAATGTGAAGACCAGAGCTGTGGCAGCATGAAATGTCTGTGTGGGCTGGAAAATCATCCTGCAACTTGTGGTGGAGCTCCACGCTGTCTCTGCCGCGCTGCTTGAAGCTTGCTCATTTAAACCCAGTAAAGGATGAGCTCGATCACAGCAGGGATTGCAAAGCAGACATGTCCTGGATCCTGTTAAAAAACCTCAGGACCTTTTCCATCCCCCCCCAAATGCTGTTTTTAAAGGACTTCCCCATAGCTACCCGTATGAATGAATAAATCATAATTATGATGCAAATAAACATATGAATGAATAATTAATTTTAATAAGTGGAAAAGGAATCTCAGCAAGAAGCGTTTTACTATTACAAGGTAAACATTGATTCATTCTTTTCAAGAAAAGGTATATTCTCCTGTGAAGTGTTTTCCATCTGGTTGCCATACCCTAATTATGTATAAAATGAAAGAAAACCAGGCTTGTGTGCCAGCCATCTTCATAGAAATGAAAAAAAACCCCAACAAACACAACAATAAACGTGCTTCCTTTTGCAACATCCATCTTCAATGCAAACGAGAAAGGAAAAAGGTCGAAGTGACATTTAAGTCGTATTCACCCCCTTCCTGAGGACAGAGCCAAATAATGCAGCTATAGTGAGATGGTCTTAATGTCCAGAGCTTGAAGGATATTGCCAGCTAGCTGGCGAGTAACTGGGAGGAAGGGTAAAGAGGGGAATATTTCCTTCTAGATCTATGCTGCCAAGAACTACCGTAGGCTAAAGCATGTGGCTTGCAGCCAGCAGGAGCATCAGATACCACGATGATAAAGGCTGCTTAATAGTATTTAGCTCTGACAAAGGGCTTTCAAGGGAAAGACAAACTTCTGTCCTGGAAAGGCTAGAAGCAGCTTCACCTGTTAAGCCTCATTTGCGGAGGGAGAAAGTGCCCTGGCAGGAGTTTCTCTCAGCTTCCAGATGCCAAGCGTGACACGGATGGAGGAAGCCACAGGTTTCTTTAGGCGAAGCAGCTGGAAGTCTGACTGCCTAGAAGATGTGTGCTTGGATTCCAGGCAGGCTAAGTGCTGACTGTGGGGTGGTAAACAAAGACATGAGCAAGTTCCTCTGTTTGGTATGTGGGAGAGGGGACAAACTCCGTCCGGATGAGAGGAGAGAAGCCGTCTTTACCTTTGCCTTTCCCCATTAACCTGTCTCTTTCCCCAGTTGCCCTGTGCACCGGGTCGTCTCCATCTGCGGCGGGTTCGGTGCCACTGCCGCGCCTGCATCGCGGCGATGACATTTACAAACGGAGGTCTGCGAACCACAGGGCGTGGAGCGACCGGCTCAAGGTCAGCCCCAGCCTGCGGCAGGGACGGGAGCAACGCCGAGCTCTCCCGGGTCC